CCCCAAAACCCCAAAACCCCAAAACCCCAACTCCAACTTTCTTACTGAATTCCACTTAAAATCCCTAAAGCTCCCACTTCAATTTCCTCTTCTTGCTATTCCTTCTTTCCAAAATCCTTTGCCCACTCGTCACTCCCATTGCTAACCTACAAGTTTAAAATTTCACTTACACTCTGTGCTTCAGCTTGTGCTGCTCTTTTGAGTGTTTAGAAGTTGCTATATGTGAAGATGAGTTTCCAAAATTCTCGGATCTTTGAAGGGAAAGGATGCAAGTGGTGAGATAAGTGGTAGTGAGGGATAGTGGTAGGGAAAACTGGGTAATTGAGGAATAGAGGAATTTGGATGGGCGTATTGGGGTTTGGCTGTGTTTAAGTGGAAATGGGGCATTTGAGTGTGATGTTTTTAATTGTGAGTGAAAGATAGCGATTTTATGGAGTTGTGAAATGAGTAAGGAGCTAGACAACTTTGTTAGATAAATTAGTGCTGATGTGTATTCAATTAGGATTTTAAAGTTCAATTTAATCCATAATTTCAAGCTTAGTTGTTACTAGTTTATAATAATTCAAAATTTGTCAAATGCACATTCAACTAATTTATTTTAGAAATTTTCTAGTTTAAAAATCAGATCTAGAACACAAAAATTGACCACTCTTCTTATAATGTTTCAAATTCTTAGCTTGAAACAAAAATTTGAGCTTGATGCAAACACAGGGTGCACAATAGCATAAATGATGCATCTAAGCACAATGCAGGTTAATTCTCTTCTCTAAGAACATTACTGAAGAAGTCATTTCTCAGAATAAATCCTTCATAACTATTCTCAAGCCAAGTAATCTTGACCTAAATTCACCAGTTCATGAATAATTTTTACTTGAGAAAGATTTGGAATCTAAGAATGAAACTTAGAGCTAGCTATCTTTACTGAATTATGCACAAGGATTAGCTTACTTCTGTTTGCTTCTGTACGTCTTGAATAGCTGGGACTTTGTCTTACATAGCATTCTGAAATCTGAATTTAGAATAAGGCTTTGCCTTGTTCGTTCGAAAGATCCCATGTTTAATATCAAAGTTGCGGATATCAGAGTTCGACTAGAGAGAAGTAAGGAAACTTACATCAAATACAGAGCCGTTCTGACTTGAGACAAACTCACGAATTCTTTGGCTTGTTCTTGAAAAATCTAATTCTGATCGATCAGAGCTGTGTAAGAAGAGGGGTTATTTTTTGAGAGAGAAAGATACCCAGTCTTTTTCATCCTTGAGAAACCTGAACTTTCTATCTCTCTGATGAGATCTGTCTCTTTTAGTCAAGGTATTGGTTTCATTTCTCATGGTTGCTTTTCACTCAACAATCGGAGTAGTACCTTTAATTAAGAAAATAGAATCCTTCTAGAAGCATATTTTTTTAGGGTGCTGAATCTTTTTCAAGTTCGAAACTTCTTTTTAAGTTTTAATTTTTTTATTGGCCTGTGTAATCTGTGACAAAATTAACAGTTTAGAGTATTTTATGGCACCTCTATTTCCCTCTTTTGAGGGTTCTTCTACAACTTCTTGTGAACTGGAATGTCCTATTTGGGAGTTATCTTAAGCCTAACCTATCAAGTTGCATTTTCTTGAGCTGTCCATTTGTTTTATATCTGATAAAATTCAGTTAGCATTCTTATCAAATCCTTTAGCATTGTTCTCAAGGTTTATAAGCTATCTTCTATTTTAATTTTCTTGGCTGCTTTCCTAACAATTTTCTCTAGTCTTTCTATCATTGAAAATGCTGGTACAGAGTCTGCTATACATCGAGATCGGCCTTTCCAAAGGCAAAGTTACGTCACTTTGCCGTCATTTGGCTTCACTTTGCCTTCAAGAAAGGCCGATCTCCAGGTAGAATACCCGGATCTCAATGTTGTTGAGCCGGATTTCTCCTGGAGATCTCCCGCTGGAATACACAGATTTCCCGGTATTCTGGCGGGAAATCGGCCTTTCTTGAACCGGCTTTGGCGGCTTCCTCGAGCAAGGAGCTGCCAAAGCCGGTTTGGAAAACGAAATCTCCTTGTAAGTAGCTTGATTAAAAGCCCATTTTTTATGAAAATAAATAAAATTTGAGAGTATTCTTAAACTGAGTTTGAGCTATACACTTCTTCAATTCGAAGAGATCTATCAGGGGTTTTGGGGTTTTGGGGTTTTGGGG